TATTAATAGAATTAACTATGCACAATTTAAATAAATAAATCGTGCTCAAATATGGATCATCATTGTTGAAAATTGGCCGTTAAGCTATAATTTTCTAAGGCTCAAATGCTATAATATGTTACAATTGCTGCGGACATGCATGCCAATTTATTGCCTTAGGCCTCCCTTATGCGACCGTTGGGCATGCAAGTTCTCCCTCGGCTATAGCTCTCCAACTGCGGAGCTTTATGACTTGGCTCCTCTTACCCATAGCAGCCTTAGCTTTCTGAAGAGAACTTCATGGTCAATTTGATCATAAGTTTTCGCAAAATCCAGGTATACCACATCTACACAAGCTCTGTGCTCCAGTAGAACCACAAGATGGTGGTGGTGCTTAAATATTACTGTCACATCTATGAGCGATTATGCTGAAAGCCAGTGTCCAAATATTATACAGTTCAGCCTCTTCCATATACTGGACATGTCTCATGGCCACTACTTTCTCAAACACCTTGATCACCTGTAAGGTCATGGACTACCACAGGTCTGTAACTTTGCTGTCGTCTCTCGGTCTTCCTTTGTGAATTGGAGTTATTAGTCCCATTTTGAGGTTATCAAAAATGATTCCCTCAATGATCGAAGCCTTCCAGAGCCTTGTGAGTGGAGCTTTCAGTGCTCCGACACACTTCTTCAGCAGCACTGCCGGAACTCAATCGGGTTTTGGTGCTAAAAACGTCGCCACTTCTTTGATGCTTCCATCCATATCATCCGGACCGAACACACTGTTCTCCAGTCCCTTTTCCTTTGAAACTCCTGTAGGGCTTCGATTTCATTCTCCTGTCTTTAGAAGCGAAGAGTTTCTGAACGTTGCTTCGAACTGCGCTGCAAGCAACTCGCACATGCCCTGGTCATCTCCTATAAGAACATCGCTATCCTATAGCGGGCCCAAATGAAGGTTTAAGTTTAGCCTTGGACTGGGCGTATCTGAAGAAATACTTGGGGTTCTCTCTGATAACCTCAACCACTCATTCCTCGGCAGCTTGTTGCTCCGTCTTACGCGAGCGTCGCAGCCTGCTTTCAGTTTCATTATGTTGTGTATGATATAATTTGAATTTTAATGTTTATTTAAAAATTTTATAAGCATTTCTCTCCTGAAACTCTGATTTTTATATTAATTATGGAGAAGCTGTTCTGAAATCATTAACTTTATATACAAACTCACATCAATGATAAACGTGGGATTCTTTTGTATTACTAGATTATAATATTAATTTCATCAAGTCATAAATAATTGTAATTCCGACTGTCCACAATGTCATTAATATTTTTTACACATTGCCTCCTTAGTCGAGAATCTCAAAATTGTTGATCTTAAATTGCGATTTTCCTTCAAGTTGTTGCTAGGAGAGCAAATTGATAACCCCTGGCTCATGGTTAATTATTAATGTTAAAAAGGCAATTCTTGTAGAAAACCCATTCATGTACGAAAAACCATTCTTGTAAGAAAAACCTTTTGTGCAAGAAAAGCAATTCATGTAAGAAAAGCCAATGTTGTTTGAAAAGACATTCTTGTCAAAGTCAAAGTCAAAGTCAAAGACTCGACCATTTCTTCGCCATTTTGAAAATTTTAAGGATTTTTCATGGGAATGATGGCTCTCAGATGACGGTAGATTTTACGGTCGTAGCAAATATTAATTGCAATAATAATTAGAAGCGCTGTTGTGAGCAGCAAATCTAATTAAAAACTCAGTTAGATATTCATTTCGCAATTGCCAAGCCAATGTAGGGAAGTCCTATATACTCAGAATCGGTGCTTATAATTAATTGGAAGGTGTCTGATATATATGGATTGGATGATTTCAACACAAAGGTTACTTAACTTTTTTTTTTGGTTGCTTAACACAACTTTTTTGTTTACTGAAAAAATTTGGTTGCTTCATACTCACATATAAACATTTGCTAATTTTTCACGTTTCTGAAAATTGATTACCAACACCAAGATAAAATCGACATTTTAAACGATTAAAAACTGCAATAACACATTCCTACATCTATTTTATCTTACTCCTCCGATTATTCAACTCCTTATTAGCACCCAATTCACAGGCCAGATCCCATTTAACCCCAAATTCACAGACATGAACGTTGCATCACGCAGCCTCCAGCCTATCCCCATTACCCCATTCGCGTCGACTTGCTGAGCATGCAGAACCACAGAAACCTAACATGAAATCGTAATCTTAATTATTTAAGTTATTGATTACAACATTCATTTCTTACGCACAAATATTTTCAATGTTCAACGACGAGAATCATTTTCCCGCACAATGGGTTCAGTCAAGCGGCAGCAAGATGCTCCTATTTTTTTGAGTAACTTTTGTTAAAAAAATTTAGGATGAAAAATGGCGGAGGAAATTGCCACGTCTCGGTGAATTCCTGAGGGCCCAAGATGCTCCTATTTTTTTGAGTAACTTTTGTTAAAAAAATTTAGGATGAAAAATGGCGGAGGAAATTGCCACGTCTCGGTGAATTCCTGAGGGCCAAAGAAACAATTTTACGCGCCCACTGAGAAAGTGACTTTGATCTTCTGTATCTTTGACGTTAACGCGTACGGCAGTGTTATATGACTGATTGGAACCTATAGTGTCCGCAACAACAGTGTTCAGGTTGGATTATTTATATCGTTTTTTTGTTTATTGTCCTGGAATATATTTAATCGCATAAGGAAATTTTCATGTTTTGTATCAATGATTCAAAAGTTTTGTGAACAAATTAATTATTTTGATGTATGGAAGATCGGGTGTTTGGCTTCACACGTCTGTATTTTAAAACTAGAAAAATCGAGGTGATATTGCATATATTAATATATTATACATTATAGTTTTTAAAAATGCCATCACGAATTAGTGAAAATAAATCTTATTGTGTGTGTGTGTGGACTCGATAATGGAGGATTGTGTTTATGGCTTTACACGTCTGTATTTTAAAACTAAAATAAATCGAAGTTAAATTGCTGATATTAATATTTTATGCATTATTGTTTATGGAAAATACTTTCTAAAATCGATGAATATAAATCCTATTGTGTGTGTGAAACTTCAAGTCTAGCCAACAATCTCACACGAAAAGTATCTAGGATACCTACCAATAACCTTTTCAATCCTTCGATCATTTGGAATGCAATATCATACTTTTGTAGGAAGTGAAGTGAATATGCATGGAAGGACTGATACTTGCAGAGACATCAATTGCTCTGCATCTGGCGAGTCTGAGTATTGTGAGCTGTGCAGGGATTGTCTAATGGAGAATTGAAGCATTAGAGGAAACTTTTACTCCCTCTTGGAGGGTCGCAGAGTTGGGGAGTCGAGGACATCTCTGTGTGAAGCTACATGGAGGAAGTGGGGAGTATTGCCATTAGAAGTGGACATGGGGCTACATGGAGGAAGTGGGCAGTTTGTCCTGTGAAGTGGACATGGGGCAACATGGAGGAAGTGGGCAGTATTGTCCTGTGAAGTGGACATGGGGCTACTTAGAGGATGTGGGAAGTATTGTCCTGTGAAGTGGACATGGTGCTACATGGAGGAAGTGGGGAGTATTGTCCTGTGAAGTGGACATGGGGCTACATGGAGGAAGTGGGAAGTATTGTCCTGTGAAGTGGACATGGGGCTACATGGAGGAAGTGGGAAGTATTGTCCTGTGAAGTGGACATGGGGCTACATGGAGGAAGTGGGNGTGTATAGAGTATTCGTCATGCGTATTTACAGCAATATAATGTGTGTATAGAGTATTCGTCATGCGTATTTACAGCAATATAATGTGTGTATAGAGTATTCGTCATGCGTATTTACAGCAATATAATGTGTGTATAGAGTATTCGTCATGCGTATTTACAGCAATATAATGTGTGTATAGAGTATTCGTCATGCGTATTTACAGCAATATAATGTGTGTATAGAGTATTCGTCATGCGTATTTACAGCAATATAATGTGTGTATAGAGTATTCGTCATGCGTATTTACAGCAATATAATGTGTGTATAGAGTATTCGTCATGCGTATTTACAGCAATATAATGTGTGTATAGAGTATTCGTCATGCGTATTTACAGCAATATAATGTGAGTATAGAGTATTCGTCATGCGTATTTACAGCAATATAATGTGTGTATAGAGTATTCGTCATGAGTATTTACAGCAATATAATGTGTGTATAGAGTATTCGTCATGAGTATTTACAGCAATATAATGTGTGTATAGAGTATTCGTCATGAGTATTTACAGCAATATAATGTGTGTATAGAGTATTCGTCATGAGTATTTACAGCAATATAATGTGTGTATAGAGTATTCGTCATGAGTATTTACAGCAATATAATGTGTGTATAGAGTATTCGTCATGAGTATTTACAGCAATATAATGTGTGTATAGAGTATTCGTCATGAGTATTTACAGCAATATAATGTGTGTATAGAGTATTCGTCATGAGTATTTACAGCAATATAATGTGTGTATAGAGTATTCGTCATGAGTATTTACAGCAATATAATGACCAGAACGAATTCATGAGTCTGGCTATATGAGTCTCATAAGTAACGCGTGGTCTATGCTAGCTTTACTCAAACATGCAGCGATGAATATAAAACTTTCTTTTAGAAAGCTCTTCAGATGTTACAAAAGTTTCGACCCAAATTTATTGACGATCGAGCCAATGGATCAAAGTTGAAAGTCTTTTCTCTATTTAAAAATATACATTGAGCGTATGCGACATAACATCTGTTAGCCGCAATGACTTTTATTTTGAAAACTTTCGAATCTTTGCAACGTTCAATACACGAAATATCATTACATATGAATTTTCTAAATTTCTAAAAATACTTCATCGATCCAGCACATGTGCGCTATTGAAACACTTGTTCATTGCCCTCTTTTCTGCTGTCGTCGTTTTAACTTATAACGAAAAAAATATCTTGAAAAATAAAAACAGAACCGATGCCTGGTCGCTATTTCGTGTGCATTTCTCCATGAGATCGCGTCGAGTGAGCGGCTATAACATTGGTGGCTTGAGCGACGTTTGCGTGACACTTTCGTCCAAAACACACAACATGATGGTTGCTGTAGTGACATTTGCCTTGCATAAACTAATTTTAATCTTAGTTGTAAATCAGGTGAGTGTTTCGGATAAACCTTAATTATATGATCTCTGTGTCATGAAATAATACAATGTTGTTTGAGATGTATTCAGATTAGGTTTATCTGTAGTATGAAGCTCGTTAACTGTGTTCGGATTGATATGCGTGATTTTTGCAGGATGCTTTAATATGGATATTCTAGCTTCTCGTCCTAGTATCAGAGCCAAATACTTTGTGTTGCATTGTAAGATCAAATTTATTTGATATAAATTGTTCAAGATAATATATTAAATTATGATTTTAGTTAACTTGATCGTTGAAATTTTAGACTCATGCTAATGAGCGTTTTGAGAATATTGATTCATTTTCAGTGCGTTATATTACAATAAGAATCGACTATGGTTTTTACAAGTAACACGCTATATTGGCAAATAAGAAATTAATTGCGAAAATGTATACTGATTTGAATAGCACACTCATGCCGTACATTTAAACTTGCGAAAATAGTCATCATATATAAACTACTCGCTCATTGTGCACCTTGACTCAGCACTTACATTATAATATGAAGTCAATAATTTCATCATTTCAATATTGACACGCGAATACCAATAGATGATGCTTTTTACTTCCAACTTGAAAATGTCAAGATTTTATTAGGAATATCCAAATCAAGTGAACATTGCTAAATCAGAGAGACAAGAAGCTAGTCGTTTCCAGTATTAACTGTGTTTACAGATGCTTATGGTATGCTGAATTAACAACTGTCAGCTGGAAACAGAATAATTATATTATCAAATGTCTATTTTTAATTGTATTTTGCGACAGCGTACCGAGGTTTTTATCACGTGTTCCAATATTTGAAATCAACATAAGCAAACAAGGGAACAAAGTCTGTTGAAATGTCTCTCGTTGTTTCCTTCCCAAGAATTTTTTTTAATTTAGGCTAATTCATAAATTTTGACGATGTAGAAAACCCTCCTATCCGCTTTTTCAAAATGACATTTATCGTTGAATCAACGCTGAGGTTAACGTTGTTTCGTATAATCGACGTTGAATTAAACGTTCTTTTGTTGAATCGACGTTGAATTTTACGTTGTTTGATTGAATGGACGTTGAATTGAACGTCGTTTCGTTGAATTGGCGTTTAATTGAAAGTTGTTTCGTTGAATCAACGTTGAATTGAACGTTGTCTCGTTGAATCGACGTTGAACTGAACGTTGTTTCGTTGAATCGACGTTGAATTAAATGTGGTTTCGTTGAATCAACGTTGAATTAAACGTTGTTACGTTGAATCGACTTTGAATTAAATGGGTTTTCGTTGAATCGACGTTGAATTAAACGTTGTTTCGTTGAATCGACGTTGAATTAAACGTTGTTTCGTTAAATCGACGTTGAATTAAACGTTGTTACTCCGAATCAACGTTGAATTAAACGCTGTTTCGTTAAATCAACGTTGAATTAAACGTTGTTACTCTGAATCAACGTTGAATTAAACGCTGTTTCGTTGAATCGACGTTGAATCAAACGTTGTTTGGTTGAATCAACGTTGAATTAAACGCTGTTTCGTTGAATTGACGTTGAATTAAACGCTATTTCGTTCATTCGACGTTAAATTAAACGCTGTAACGTTGAATCGATATTGAATTAAACGCTGCTACGTTGAATCAACTTTAAATTAAACGCTGTTACGTTGAATCGACGTTCAATTGAATGTTGTTTCGTTGAATCAACGTTGAATTGAACGTTGTCTCGTTGAATCGACGTTGAACTGAACGTTGTTTCGTTGAATCGACGTTGAATTAAATGTGGTTTCGCTGAATCAACACTGAATAAAACGCTGCTACGTTGAATCAACGTTGAATTAAACACTATTTCGTTAAATCGACGTTGAATTAAGCGCTGTTACGTTGAATCGACATTGAATTAAACGTTGTTTGGTGTAATTGACGTTGAATTAAACGCTGTTTCTTTGAATCGACGTTAAATTGAATGTTGTTTCGTTGAATCAACGTTGAATTGAACGTTTTCTCGTTGAATCGACGTTGAATTGAACGTTGTTCCGTTGAATCGACGTTGAATTAAATGTGGTGTCGCTGAATCGACGCTGAATAAAACGCTGTTTTTGTTTAATCGATGTTGAACAAAACGCTGTTTCCGTTGAATGGACCTTGAATTGAAAGTTGTTTCAACGTTGATTGTCAGGTGGGCATGGAGTTTCAGTTGGTGCGTGTGTTTGGAGAGCAAAGAATCACGTTGAACTTCCCGAGGCAAATTTTCAGCGCATAGACCAAAAATTTGTTTGTAAACCCTGATAGTTCAAGCCATTCGACTATCATGAACTGTTATTTTATATATGTGTTGACTGTTTACATAATTGGATGCGTCTGCATTAATTCATTTTCTCCCATTAGATTTTCAACTCGACTGTAGTGGAGTCTCTTACGTTATGTGTCGAAATAATGAGTTATTTTTTATTTCGATAATTAGTTCCAATAATTAGTATTAATTTCGAAATTAATACTAATCTATTAATTATAAAATCTTAATGTTATTCATTTAATTATATGATTAATTGTCCGACATTGAAAATAATATGGACGGATTTAGCTTCCTCATCACATAACATGGCACCTATTGTAATAACAAATTAAGAGCGGCGTATATAAGTACTCCTATCTCCAGCTCTCTCCTTACGCATTCGATGTGTTAGTAGCTTTCTTATCCTGTATGATGTGAAAATATTTGTTTCAAAGGATTGCATTACTTGATTTTTAGTTCTCCATTTCACATCCGTTATGTGAAGACAACCCATTCTGATTTTTTACTTCCATAGTTGACCGTTTATTCAACTATATTAAATTAATGTGTTGAATAATGTTTGATTAATATAATGAATAATGTAATTAATGTTTCAACCCCCGTGCTGCCTAAAGTTTAGCGTGATAGCCACTTGGAAATGTCTAATAGTTTCCCGTCATTAATAATATTGCTAGGCGTGACGCGATAACCATACGAACTTTCCAGGTAAAACAACTGGACATCTGAATATCTGAAACTAGTTTGCCACATTTTTAAATAGTCAGATTTTGTGGCGTCATCGAACCACAAAATTTATTGAATGTCGAATAAATCAATTTATTATTCCGCTTCATTCCTGAAGTTGATATCTTGTTTCCTGCAGGTCTACTGCGACTCCTTTAGCTCTCCTAACCCCCGAGCTGGTGACGTCATCGACAAGGTAATGATTTCGGTTTGATTACATCTTTATTTGAGCACATACTGTACTTCTTATGCATGGAAATTGAATATATAATGGATTTATTCCAATATTGTTCTATTTAGTGTTATATAAGGGCTTGATTAGAAATAACGGTTATTCGTGTTCATGAACCTTAACCTTATCTGGAGTCTTAGGCCAAGACATCGGCAATACAAGGGAGATGAGTACGAGAAAAAGGCACAAGTGTACGTCGGCAAAATGTCTAGTTCAGAATGCGTGCCTTTGCAGTTGGATAAAATAGAACGTCATATCGTGTAAAGCGTTATTTCTGGCGTTACTGATAATAAAGAGCGGCGTTACTTTACTATTTCTGGCGTTACTGATAATAAAGAGCGGCGTTACTTTACTATTTCTGGCGTTACTGATATTAAACAGCGGCGTTACTTTACTATTTCTGGCGTTACTGATATTAAACAGCGGTGTTACTTTACTATTTCTGGCGTTACTGATATTAAACAGCTGCGTTACTTTACTGTTTCTGGCGTTACTGATATTAAACAGCGGCTTTACTTTATTATTTCTGGCGTTACTGATATTAAACAGCGGCGTTACTTTACTATTTCTGGCGTTACTGATATTAAACAGCGGTGTTACTTTACTATTTCTGGAGTACTGATATTAAACAGCTGCGTTACTTTACTATTTCTGGCGTTACTGATATTAAACAGCGATGGACATTGCAACACCGGTCCGGGAGTCACAAAATATCACTAAACCATAAAACGCGGATACTTTCGTCTAACACCGAATGTATGCACCAAAAAAAGACACCGAAATAGATTTATGCACCGATAAAATCTTTTACACCGGATGTATGCAAAATATTGCACGCACAAACTCAACATGGTACCCGAGATATCAATATGGGTAACAAACAGCCAAGTGTACCGAGAATACCCACTAACCACTGGTACATATATACCCATAAATAGCCTGTACATATATACCCATAAATCGCTGATCCTTGAATACCCATGAAAAGCTTCTCATCGCAAACTGCAAGAAAATTATTAGAAGTTTTTGCAGAACTAAAAATCATTGAATTACGGATTTTTATTCAAATTCCAAAGACGATTTAAGCGAGACAATCATATTGTTCATTTCATTACTTATCTTCTTTGTTCTAATCAAGATCTCATCGTGAAATAGTCCATTTATTTCCTGATTACATGGGTTAGAAAAATTAACGATTCAGGTTAAGCGCAGTACGTATGTATACCTGGCGTAGTACTGGTACTGGTGCAGCACATTAAATTTACTTACCATTAAATTTAACGCGGAACAACTTAGAATATTATTGGAGTCAAGTGAACAGGCCGAATTGTTATATGTACTTCAGTGGCTGACAATCTCACAGGGATTGCCAATGATTTACTGTACATGTTTGTAAATGGTCGCTCTGCAGGCCCGATGATTGTCAAGCATAAAATATTTCTTGTGATTACCATGTTTATGATCTGTCATATATTAATAACAAAGCCAAATTATATCATTATTTTTTGAATTATTAATTATTTACTACGAACTTCATCTGGTACTGATCCAGCACCTCATTTATTTTGATCATTTGAAATATATAAATTAATTCTTTACATATGATTTTCATAGTCGATTATAAAAGTCTGCACTGGCACCACACCTCTCCAACAGTTCGAGCTGGACATGGGCTCTAGTGGACCGAAGTCCAGCTTGTTCTCCGAGTGCCAAGCTCTAGCCAACACCATCGAGGGAAGCCTGTACTCTGTTCCCATCTCGGAAAATATTGAATACCTTCGCTTCGCCCCTCTCCAAAGTCGTGCGATGGAATGGACAGAATTAACAATTGATGGTGACACAGGAGTCCTAGCGTGCATCCTGAAGGCGGCCGAGCTTAGTGAGTCTGGTAGTGGTGACCCTCATCATAATATAGCGGTTTCAGCGTTTATTAGGCCGTAGGCCTGTCGCCGAAGCAAAATTGAAGCAGCGAGTTGCGAGTTCGAGCCCGCAACATGCTGTGGATATCCTGCGATGTTAAGAATAGGCGACAGTCCTACGGCCTAATTGACGTTGGGGAAATTCAGCGTTTATTAGGCCGTAGGTCTGTCGCCGATTCTTAAAATTGCAGAATATCCACAGCTTGTTGCGGACTCGAACTCGCAAATCACTGCTCCAATTCTTCTGTGCTTAACCGCCCGGCCTCCTTGCCGATTCTGGCCAGAAACTGACGCACAGAGCTGGGATCGAACCCGCACCTCTCTGCGCTAATCCTGGTATTCAACTTTAACCATTGGGCCACCCCATGGTTTTCTCTGCAAAATTACCTTCCGATTATGCCTTCAATAATATTGATGTATTTTTTTCTCAGTNGTCTGTCTCTTATACACATCTAGATGTGTATAAGAGACAGGTAATAACTGTTCACTTGCTTGATAATGAATATTGATATATTCGAAACGTCGCACTGCAATAAAATGTCATTCGGTAATCTACTTTTTGATCTCCAAGCTCCAGCTAGAAATTTCGTTCGGCTTATCGAAAAGAATAATAAGAAAATCGTAAATAAAAAGTACGCTCTGGTCTTCAACCAAACCTGTATAAATGAAGAACTTCTGCCTAACTACACTAATATTTAATGTTATGCTAAACAAATTAGTTGTTCTCGACTGTATATATGAAACCAAGAAATGAAGACACGAACAAGGCGTGTCTTACTGCAGTTGTCTGTAGGATCGTATTATTGATCACTGGATCAAATGATTTTCAACAGTTCTCTCTTGGCCCAGTCATGAGTACTCTTCATAATCAGGTATTTAAAAGCAAAGAAAATACCACAAAAATTCACCATATCTTTATAAGATAAAACGTTTCGGAGTCCAGCTCCATCGTCAGTTCAAACCACAAAATTCTGTTCAGAANTCCTTTCCTCTTGAAATAGTAAATAGATAGGCCGTTTACGTTTACTAGCATTATTTTCATGTCTTATCTATTTATTTTTAGTGCATTTACTTTACTAATTGATTTATTTGTGATTCTAGGACTGAACTTTTTCTGAACAGAATTTTGTGGTTTGAACTGACGATGGAGCTGGACTCCGAAACGTTTTCTCTTATAAAGATATGGTGAATTTTTGTGGTATTTTCTTTGCTTTTAAATTCCTGGTTAACTTGCAATTCAAGCAAACAAGTGATTTTAATACTCATAATCAGGTGTTGTAGTCGGCAGCATGTATGTTATAATATAGATTATAGATAACCGAAATAATATGTATAATAGAACTAATAAAAATCACGTCTGCTTGACAGTGGCCTGGATGGTCAAGTACGAAGGCAAATGTCTTGCCACATTCAGCGACGTCTACAACTCCACTGAAGAACAGAGCTGCGACAACCCGCAGGAGGTAGTTTACGTCATCACAGGTAACACCTGGGTCTTCAATTAGAATAGAATAAATAGAAGTGTCGGCACTGAAGAAATAGGCCCATGGCCTATTGCCGATTCTTGAATTTTTTGTGACTTGATTCAGAAGGGATCCGGCCTTTGCAACCCGATCTTTCCATACCTGACGATTGATTGAGATAGCTGCTGGACTTATTGCCTGGTCCGTAATTTGCTAGGCATTTTAAGACTGAACATATGCTCCAGCATAGCTTCGTCCGGACTTATTGCCTGGTCCGTAATTTGCTAGGCATTTTAAGACTGAACATATGCTCCTGAATAGCTTCGTCTAGTCTGTTCTTGAAGGCGTTCATACTCGCAGCGTCAACGAGTATGAACGCCTTCAAGAACAGACTAGACGAAGCAATGCAGGAGCACATGTTCAGTCTTAAAATGCCCAGCAAATTACGGACCAGGCATTTTATCATCAGATTTTAGTATTCCACGCTGCTCGATGTGCCCGCTAACTTCATGTGTTTGCAAACGTCCTCCTCTGCTCCTGACGATCAAGATATATCAACTTTATTGGACGGTGTATGGATGTTATGCAATTATCCCGTTCGATATCTAAGTTGGTCCAGGGGCCATACTATAAAAACTCGCTTAGTTGCTCACATTAAATAGGTATGAATACAAACAATTTGTATTGTAAACCAAACACCACTTGTTAACATGTGAAAACTCTGTTTTTTTTTTTTCGTCGTAGATGCCAATCTGGCCATCGACTACAGCCGCGGAAAGGATGGCGTGTGGCGCTGGCCCGGCGGTGAGGAGAAGTCGTTTCCATGGGTGGAACAACCAGAAGACTATCACGATTGCGCCCTCGGTTTTTTCACTGAAGGTGTATGGTTAGTTCCGGTCCGTTGCAGTGACCGCATCGGACAAGCACTTTGTATGGAAACTCAAAGTGCTAAGCAGAAATGTACCACTGACTAGATTATGATCGGACACGACCTTTTCTAGGTGGACTATTGGCTCTCCATTTTTAAAAGTTCATTTAAAATTGCTGCTCTGTAATGCACTCTTCATGAACATCAATATTCTATTTCCTTCAGATATATTGTTATTCAGATATATGAGAACTTTATCATTCGCTTCAGGGAACAACTGATGCTCTATTTTATTGCATTTAATTGAAGTTCCCTACTCCAATCGCAAGAGCAATTCCTATTCATACATATTTTACTACCTAAATTGTAATCAATAACTATGGAGCAGAAAAATTTCGCGTATATCTACCCTATTGGATGATCAAAATATATGTTGTTACGAACATGGATTGCAGGACCTCAAAGAGTATTGTGATCATCTAGAAAACTAGCACGCCGCGTGTCCCTCATAAACTAAAAACTATTCTAAAGTTTTAAAAACTAGCTTCAATTAAAATTAGGTGTCGTCATCTGGATCACTGCCCTTATGTCAAATTTAAAACTTCCATGTTCATGGCCGCGCGGAAGCGCCGTCTTCATCGTCCGCGGTCCCCTAAGCAATCGAAAGGCAGGACGCCCCCCTCCGTAGTCTGTAGGTTACGTTGGACAAGACCACCGTGCATCTGCTCTCATTTGAGCCAACTGATTCCAAATGTTTTTGCTCATCTCGTGGTCGTGCGCAAATGTTCCGGTTGTTTGGACACGCATGTCCCTTTATTGCCCTAGTCTGCGCTGATATGACCGTGGGTATTTATGACTGGGCTCCTCTTAGCCAGCTGCCTTAACTGTCTTCAGATCACCCCTTAGTCAACTTCTTCATGAGCTTTTGCAAAATTCAGGTACTCCACGTCTACGCTGGCTTCCTCCTCCATTAAGGCTACAAGTCGGTGATGGTGCTCCCGCAATTGTGTCCAACTGGAGCGATTACGCTGAAAACAATGTTGCCCATTATTATACAATTATTCAACCTCCTCCAAGTACCAAAACACTACTACACTTTGCCGCTACAGTTTCAAACACCCTGATAACCTGTGAGGTCAAGGACACTCACTGACGTTATCAGTCCCACTTTGAAGTTCCTACGCAAAATTCCCTTCATCAATTCCAGTTGATTTGGCGTGGAGTTTTGTATTATCCAAAAAATATTCCTTCAGCATTACTGCCGGTACTCCATTGGGCCCTGGTTTCTGAAAAGGTCGCTAGTTCTTCAATGTTTCTATCTATGTCTTCTGGTCCAGGACTTTGATTTCATTCTCTTGCCTAGAGTCGCGGAAATTTCTGAAAACTGATTTTAGTTGCGCTGCCATGCAGCAGCTCACACATGCCCTGTTCATCGTCAACGAGGGTATCATAATTCTTCAGCGGCCCAACTGTGGCCTTTATTTTAGCCGTGGACTGAATGTATTTGTAGATACACTCGGGGTTCTCTCTGTTGACCTCAATCACTTGCTCCTCTGCAGCTCGTTCTTCCATCCTATGCGAATCCTGCAACCTGCTTTCGGTTTCCTTGTGGAGCTCTACCAGTATTTGCCTCCTGAACTCACGAGTGGATTTATCTTGTTTATTAATTTGTTTATTTGTTTATTTAATCTCCTGCGTTTTCTTATTATAATTCGTCTGTCTCTACGAACTTTAGGGCCCGTTCTCCTCGGGGCATGACGTACGCATAACAGTGCTAGTTTCTCGCATAGTTTTGTGTTAATTTCATAATTATTTCTCTCATGAAACTCTTTTCACCTAACAATTTTTGCGAGTTGATTCCGAATGGCCTCGCAGCCAGTTCTTCGATGGTGGAACTTGATTGGTGGATCTCCTGCCATAAGATGTTTGGCCTACGCGTGTCTGTGTGCGTCAAAGTCCTATGGGATTTCGCGCTCCTAGGGGGATTGTTCCTGAGCGCCCCACCGCTGAGCTCGGGGTGTCTGACTGCAGGTCTCAGTTGTGGGGTTAAGTTATTATGTAGGTAGGATTACTTGCATTAAGTTATTATGTAGGTAGGATTACTTGCATTAAGTTATTATGTATAGGTAGGATTACTTGCATTAGGTTATTATGTAGGTAGGATTCCTTACATTAAGTTATTATGTAGGTAGGATTCCTTACATTAAGTTATAGGTAGGATTACTTGCATTAGGTTATTATGTAGGTAGGATTCCTTACATTAAGTTATTATGTAGGTAGGATTCCTTACATTTCCCTTCTCTGTCTCTCTCGTGCGGGCGGCCGACGTCCCCTGTAAGCGGCCTCTTGTTCGAGCGTCTTTGTTTCTGTTGCTTTTCACCTGTCCCTCCTTGTCACTTCGTCTCTTTGAGATGCTAACGCTGCTTCTTTCGAGCCAGCTTTAGCGGGCTGGACAATTGAGACTTTCCGCCCCTTGTGGGTGATGAACAATGTTTGATTTGAGAAATTAAGGAGGATCTACTCAGAAATTAAACTGAAGATTAATTGCATTCAAATTTAACTGACGAGTGCCCGCACTAGATTTTATTTTCTGAATAGCTGTTCTATAATTTAGCAGCAAAATGCCCGCACTAGACTTAATCTGAAATTTTTTTGCGTTAGAATTTGACAGTAGAGTGTCTGGACTAGAATCTATCTACAGATTGTCTGCACTAGAAATTAACTGCTGATTGTCTACAATAGAAATTAACAGCTGATTGTCCGCTCTAGAAATTACCTACTGATTGTCCGCTCTAGAAATTAACTACTAATTGTCCGCTCTAGAAATTAACTACTGATTGTCCGCTCTAGAAATTACCTACAGATTGTCCGCTCTAGAAATTAACTACTAATGGTCCGCTCTAGAAATTACCTACTGATTGTCCGCTCCAGAAATTAACTACTGATTGTCCGCTCTAGAAATTAACTACTAATTGTCCGCTCTAGAAATTACCTACTGATTGTCCGCTCTAGAAATTAACTACTAATTGTCCGCTCTAGAAATTACCTACTGATTGTCCGCTCTAGAAATTAACTACTGATTGTCCGCTCTAGAAATTACCTACAGATTGTCCGCTCTAGAAATTACCTACTGATTGTCCGCACTAGAAATTAACTACTAATTGTCTGCTCTGGAAATTACCTACTGATTGTCTGCTCTAGAAATTAACTACTAATTGTCTGCTCTAGAAATTAACTACTAATTGTCTGCTCTAGAAATTACCTACTAATTGTCTGCTCTAGAAATTACCTACTGATTGTCTGCTCTAAAAATTAACTGCTGATTGTCTGCACTAGAAATTATCTACTGCACGATTGTCTGCTTTAGAAATTATATTACTACTTATTGTCTGCACTATAAATTAACAACTGATTGTCCGCTTTAGAAATTAACTACTAATTGTCTGCTCTAAAAATTAACTACTGATTATTTGCGATAGAAATTAACTACTGATTGCCTGCACTAGAAATTAACTACTGATTGTCCGCTCTAGAAATTAACTACTAATTAATTGTCTGCTCTAGAAATTAACTACTGATTGCCTGCACTAGAAATTAACTACTGATTGTCCGCTCTAGAAATTAACTACTAATTAATTGTCTGCTCTAAAAATTAACTACTGATTATTTGCGATAGAAATTAACTGCTGATTGTCTACACTATATTTAACGCAGTGAGTTAATTCTAATTTATATATAGATTAACTGGACCAGCATTTGACGACAGAGTATCTGCCTTAGAAGTTAAGAGCTGTTAAAATGTCTGCACTAAATTCGTATATATTTAGAATATATCTTCAGATTTTATCGGCACTAGAACTTAACTGCACAGTGTCTGCCCTAGAATTTAGAGTCGATTTTAAGCAGTTGTGTTTGATCTTCTATATTTTTAGCCCTGGCGATGGACCATTGCAATTAGAATCGCAAAATTCAGTGTATGGTGCGTCTGGCAGAATTCTGATTTGCCTATTCATCTCGTAAAACAATTTGCTTGTCCCATATCTGAAGAATCATTGATGTCAAATATCAAAGCAAATATCAAAGATGTTTCTAGAAATCAAGAAATATCAGCGGCATATATCAAAAATATTCGCTCATGATTTCAATGGCAAACTATTATTTAATATTTTTTAACTGATCGAAGAAAAGATGTTGTAAAATTCCTTATTTTATTTATACACCCGCATCGATGCTGAATTTCCTAGATTATAATAGTGTTAGTGTAATTCATTCCTTGATTATAAGAATATTATCTTTATTTAATCGACAAATTATTGTAGTTCAAATTTCCTTCAAGTCGTTGATTTTTTATTACTTTCTGCTTAGTCAGCCATTTCAGAACCTAGCAATTTTCTTCGATGTTGTTGCTAGCAGACTTAACTGATAGTAACTGGCTGAAGGCTACCTGGCTGAAGGCTACCTGGCTGAAGGCTAGCTGGGTGAAGGCTACCTGGCTGAAGGCTAACAGGTTGAAGGCTAACTGGCTGAAGGCAACCTGGCTGAAGGCTAGGTGGCTGATGGCTACCTGGCTGAAGGCTAACAGGTTGAAGGCTAACTGGCTGAAGGCAACCTGGCTGAAGGCTAGCTGGCTGATGGCTACCTGGCTGAAGGCTAACAGGTTGAAGGTTAACTGGCTGAAGGCAACCTGGCTGAAGGCTAGCTGGCTGATGGCTACCTGGCTGAAGGCTAACAGGTTGAAGGCTAACTGGCTGAAGGCTTTCTGGCTGAAGGCTAACTGGTTGAAGGCTAACTGGCTGGAGGCTTTCTGGTTGCTAGGCTTACTGGCTTGAAGGCTAACTGGCTGAAGGCTAACTGGCTGAAGGAAACCTGGCTGAAGGCTAGCTGGCTGATGGCTACCTGGCTGAAGGCTAACAGGTTGAAGGCTAACTGGCTGAAGGCAGCCAGGCTGAAGGCTAGCTGGCTGATGGCTACCCGGCTGAAGGCCTGTCTCTTATACACATCTAGATGTGTATAAGAGACAGGTTATTTACTGTTCTTTTCCCTACTTTGGACCCGCATCTGAGACTATGTCAAAGGAATTAAAAGTACTATTTGCCAAATATCTTCCGGATGTAAATCTTCATGTGTTGCTGGTTAACAATTTTAGAATCGGCTCTTTTTTCAGGTATAAGGATACCCTACCTGTTCTTATGCGATCGTCACTAGTTTACAGATATAGTTGTGCGCAGTGCGCATCAGCGTACGTCGGTATGACGGCACGCAATTTCTATACTAGGCTGGC